AGGGAGTCTACCCTTAGTGGCTGCAACTTGTTCGTAACAAACCTGGCCACAAACATCTCGGCCAGACCTTTCCAATTCTTCATAGTTCCCCTCGGCAACTTATGAAACCAATCAGATGCTATCTCACCAAAGGATGAGGGGAACACCTTGCACAGTAGCAGCTCATTCCCGCTCCACCCACAAAACCATTGAATTTAAATATAAGCTGACATGAAAGTTCGGATCAGACTTACCGTCATAAATCTGGAATGTGAAATCTCTTTAGGGCCTCAAACGCATCCAACTGAGAACGGCGTCCTCAGCTGACGGAGGATGTGATCTCGGCATTATGCTGCTTCCTCTGGAGGTAGTCTCTCAAATCCTCATTTGTTTGACTGGGAGCTTGGCTATCAACAGATTTCATCCTTTTTGGCACGCTGCTTCTAGTGTAATTGTGCGTTCGTTTGGACTTCTCCTCATCCACTACATCAAAACAAAGGCCCTTCCCCTGGATGTGCCGAGGTTCTTTAATATAGATCCCCTTGGTTCATGGTGTCTTCTGCGATTCACCTCTCATTGATTCTGTTCGCCCGACATCTTGTGACGACCGATGTGAATGTTCCTTTCCCTTGCTGTGCTATGGGACTACTGGGATTATTTTCTGCTTCCTTTTCTGGGTATTAGTCTTGGTCGTTGGTGCTGGCATGTCCTGCAATGGGAATAATGGTTGCATCATGTTGTTCTACATTATGAAGTTGACAAGCGACTGTAGATCTGCCACCTTGTTTTCCATTCATTTCATCTTGTCACTTCTCAGGTATCTATCCTTCCATACCTAGAGGTCACTTTCGTTGTAATTCTCATCTCGGTCACCTTTCTTTGGGGCGTTACCCTCTTTGCCGACGTTCTTCTTTCCAAGATTCGGATTTTGTGCTCCTTCATTATAGTTTTCCTCCTCGACGTTAGGATCTACATGCTCACCACTTTCACTGTGGATGTCGTCTGCAATCTTTTCTTCTTGGCCGTTGTTGGCCATCTATTCTTCTTAAGTTTCCATAGACGACACCAAGGTGTTTATTTCCGACCACACAACCAAAAAGGGAACTTAGCTAGAGAGCACCGGCAAAATAGATTAAGCCCAACAACCTATTAACAAGAATGTGAGAATCAGACGGTGGTTCGTCCACCCGGTGGCACTCCGACGATCAAGTCAGTAATTAATATCTTTCAAAGATAGCAAATAGTGCTTAAACTCACCAGAAAGAACTTACCTTTGACCCATGAGGGTGCCTTACTTTTATAACTAGCAGTGACTTGATCCCTTTAGAAGCATCACTTCAATGGACTCAGGCTCAATGCTCATCTGGACCCTCATCTAGATAGAGATAAACTCTTCTTAAGCCTTATTTTTATCCAAACTGAGATCCTTCTTTATTCTAAGACTCTTGTCCCTTATCTGCTTATCTTGGATTCCGGTATCTCTGCAGATAACTTCGCCCTAGCCGAGATCATTCAACAGCATGATCAGGTCACGTAACACCTCGGCTAACACTTCGACGTCACCTTAACCACGTGCTGTCATCCACAAAATACTTCCCCACACTAACCATTAGATGTTGTAGATTAATTTGAACCATTCAATATACACATTTGTTCACCTAATCATTTGTAATCAATTATATTATTTGATTATGTTGGGTTTTCTAAATTTATAAAAGGGGAACTTACTGATAAGTTTCATATACAAAGTTCAAGACTCAGCTAATCCTCAAACAAAACACTTGCACCAATTAGTCCTATACATTTTTAATTGTTACCAATTTTTTTTTTTTTTTTTTTTTTTTTTTTTTTTATAGACACTGTTACATCTTACTACCGTCGGACTTCCGTCAAACTGTCGCTGGAGACTCGTCGGAATGTTCAACATCACCAGGAAGTCGTCGGAGTATCGCTGGGAAGTCGCCGGAGTTTCGTCGAAAGTTCGCCGGAGTGTTAAGGACGTTAATGGAAGTCGCCGGAATGTTCTAGATGTTAAGAACATCACTGGAGACTCATCAGAATGTCTAGAATATTGCCGGGAAAAAAAAAGAATAAATGGAGAAATTAGAGCGAAAAAACATTGTAAAATGTGCTAAATATTGATAAACTAAAAGGAAAAAAAATGGAACGACAAAAAACAGCAACAATGGGAAAAACATATGCTATTTTTCAATTTTTGTAAAGTTTAAGCAAATAATCTCCAATATTAATCAAGTTGAAAAATAAGTTTTGAAACTGTAAAATGTTACAGTTTCAAAGCAAAAATTTATAAAGCATTTATCCTTATTAATCAAACTGAAAAACATGTTATGAAACTGTAAAATTTTACAGTTCTAAAGAATGTTATGAAACTGCAAAATTTTACAGTTTTATACCATGATCCATTCCAGTACCAAAAAAATTTGAAACTACAAAATTTTACAGTTTTAAGCCATGATTCATTCCAGCACCAAAAAAAATTTGAAATTGCAAAATTTTACAGTTTTCACCGCCTGTAACTAAAACTCGAAAACTACTTGTTCAGAATTTGAAAATTTTCTCCATTAGAACAGAAAAAGAGAAGTGTATAGTAGAGAAAATATAAAAAAAATAAGAGATCAAAGGAGAAAAACGGATATAGAGAGAGGATTGTACTCCGGCAATTATTTTTTGTTTAGATCTAGCCAAATCTGATGTAGATCTACTCAGATCTGATGTAGATCTACATCCGATCTGAGTAGATCTACTCATCTTTTTTGTCGGAAATTATATCTTCTTCACAGTTGGTGAGGGTGAAGTCACGAGTTGATTTCGATGGTTGGTGGTTGCCGGTGAATCCCAATCAATGGTGGTCGTTGGTCACCCGTAACTATATATTAGAAAGAGAAAGAGAATAAGAATGACATGATTACCGGTCGTCGTCCATGACAAAGAAGATGAGAGAAAAATGCAGAAAAAAAGTGAGAGGAAAATGTAAAGAGTGAGGCAAAAAGCAGAGAGAGAGAGAGAGAGGAAAAGTAGGACTTTTGGATCTACTCAAAAAGTTGTTGGATTAAATAGTGTACACATATTTTAAATAGGACTTGTGGGTAATTTTCCCATTACAAAATGATTTGTACGTCTCAGCTAAAAATATTAAAATAAAACATAAAATTTATTTTGTTTTGTGTGATTTGTGGTCACTTATTTGTTATGATTTAAATATAATGAGATAATTTTTATATAATTTTAAACTAAAATATCACTACTAATTTTTTTTTTTCATTCAAATTAATGGGAAGGGTATACATATGCTATATTTTAGAGTGAATTTAATTTTTTTAAAAACTTAAGTGAAATTAACACAACAAAAAGATAATTTTATCTCAACTTCTCCAAATTTAAAATTAGATTAAGATGTTAATAAAAATAAAATATTTGATCTAAAATATATAATATAATTAAGAATTATTTGGGACATTAATTTATAAATCTCTTCACCAATTTATATTCTATTTAGTCCAAATTATTTTCTTATATTTCAATAAGTCCTACGGAGACATAGTTACAAAAATATCTCTAATAATAATAGGGTGAAACGCTCATTAATGTTCACATTGATAATATGAATGTTCCATGATGTGAACATTCACACTGTCAAATTTATTTAATGTGAATGTTCACATCACTAAGTTGTTAAGAGTTCAAAAAATATTTTTGAGGATAAAATTGTTTATAAAATACCTTAAATATGAGAATTAAGATTTGATGAATCAAATATCTAAAATAATAGTACTTGTTGGAATACAAAAATATTTTATGAACTAATTGGGATACAAGTACTCAATAAAAGATTTTCTAAATAAATTTCTCATTAAATTAAAATATAAAATAAATAATGATTAAAAGATTGATCTAATATATGTCAAACCATAATAATTTTATTTTTTATTTCACAACCATCAAATCAGCTACAAAAAAAAGTCAAAATTTATCTCACACATAATTTTTTTAGCCAGATTAAAATAGTTAAAAAGTCAAAATATCAGGTTAAATTAGCTCATCCTAAACGAGAACTTACTATATAAACGAGTTTTGAAAAAGAATATTGAGGATTTTTTAATAATTTTTATTTATAAAATCGACACTATCAGCTCTTTCAAGAGATTTTTGAATCTGTCGCAATCCTAAGGACTGAATAAATATTGGTTTTAATTTTCATATGAAAATTTAATCTTGAAACGATATGTATTCTCATGTTTAGAAATCCGTTTGTGCTAATATAACTCATTAATAAATAAGTAATATTTTTCTTTCATGGAATTATCCTAGAGAGAGAGAGAGAGAGGGGGAGAGAGAGAGTGTTACACGGTGACAACATGGCATGTGGTGTTATCGGAGGTGCAGTTACCACATGTGACAGCATTTCGAAATGGGCCAATATCAGGATATTTGGCCCAACCTGATTCTCCACTGCATGGATCTACACTGAAATTCCAATCATTCTTTCCCAACGACTTTCCTATTTCCTTTATGGGATGTTTGTTTTGAAAGATAGCCTTGGGACTATTAATACCTTGGGACTAACTAATACCTCGGTATTACTAATACCTTGGTATTACTAATATCATGTTTGTTTGGGCGGACTGGATTAGCATTCTCATCACTAATAGTCCTAGGATTACGAATCCGTTGGATTATATATCCTATCTTAACTAATAGTCAAGTTTAAAATAATTAGTCCGTACTTCAATTGTTTAACCAAATATCGGATTAATAATTTTATTGGACTATTAATCCAATCCCAAGCTCATGTCCACCTAAACAAACATGACCTGTTTGTTTTGAGAGATAGAGAGGGTACTACTAATACCTTGGTATTACTAATACCCTTGGGCCCCGTTTGTTTTCAGAGATAGAATGGAGAGGATTGATAGTGAGGGGATTAATAGTGAGGGGATTGTTATTGAGGGTCGTTTGTTTTCATATTGAGGATTTTTAATTTAAAATAAAGCACTCATGAAAATAATTTTTATTTATAAAATTGACACTATCAGCTCTTTCAAGAGATTTTTGAATCTCTCGCAATCCTAAGGACTGAATAGAAATTGGTTTTAATTTTCAAATGAAAATTTAATCTTGAAACCATATGTATTCTCATGTTTAGAAATCCGTTTGTGCTAATTTAACTGATTAATAAATAAATAATATTTTTCTTTCATGTAAATATCCTAGAGAGAAAGAGAGGGGGGAAGAGAGAGAGAAAGTGTTACATGGTGACAACATGGCATGTGGTGTTATCGGAGGTGCAGTTACCACATGTGACAGCATTTCGAAATGGGCCAATATCAGGATATTTGGCCCAACCTGATTCTCCACTGCATGGATCTACACTGAAATTCCAATCATTCTTTCCCAACGACTTTCCTATTTCCTTTAGAGCTTCCACTGCAAAAAGACAAAAACACATACTAATATTTTTATACTTATATATAAAGAATCCGAGACTCTTTACCAAATATATATCTCCCTCATGGAATTAAATTTGAAATTTTATAAATTTAACAACACGTTACTAACATTCTTAAAAAAACAGCACGCTACTAATATTATATATATATATACACACATACATACCTTCAGACAAGGGAACAGTGAATTCGGAGGCAACAGCAGCCAACAAAATGATTACAGTGAGTGAAGCAAGAAGTCGAGACGACATTTTTTTTAAGTGCTTGAGAGAACACACAACTTATTAGTAAGGGTAATGTTATATAACCAGCAAAAGCACTATATATATTTTTAGTTGCGGTATTCAATTATATAACTTATTATGTTATTAATTATGATTTATTATAATGTTGATTATAAAATTATTTTAGTTTTGATATAAGAGTTCTTTGTTATATCTTATGTGATGTTTAGTTATAATTTATATTTTTTAAAGTTATAACTTCCATAATATTGAGTTATGCCATTTACGATAATGAAACTCATAAATGGCATAACTTGCATATGGTATTACTCTACTTAAACATTTAAAAAGTTAGGCAAATTACATGGTTATTTTCTCTAATTTGATTCTTATGTATTTTGGTCTTTATATTTTTAATTGACTTGATTTTTATTGATATCACAGACCAGTTCTAGTTCAAAAAACTACAACAATTCAAGGAGGTCAAGGATCTAAGTTGCGGCCTCATTGCACCTCACCTGTGCTGCAGTCATATGAGAATATCTCTCCAATTGGTTAGGTGGTTAGGTAGTTATCAGTTTGTTAGATAGTTAAGAGTAGTTAGACTCACATTCGTATATATAAAGATGTGAGTCATGTACTTGAAGGATATGGAAAAAGAGAGATTATGAAATAATCATTTTCAAGCTTTTCTACAATTTTTATTTTTATTTTTAAATTTTGTATTAATTTGGTCCAATTGACAATGCCTACTAAGGTTATTGATAAAAAATGATCACTGGTTTGATTGAAGTTAACTTATTAAATTAACTAAGTTTACAATTTTTACCCCTTAAAATTATGAATGACATATGTTGATTATGCGTGCTCATTTTTCATAAATAAATAAATTGTTAATAAATGTAATTAATTTAATTAAATTGAGATAAAATTATAAATTTAATGTTAAAATTCAACTAATTAAAATTATAGGGATTAAAATTACACAACAACTAAAGTATAGCACCATCCACCTCACACCTCCGCTTCACCTCCGTTGACTCTGCCATCCGCTCCACCTCCGTCGCTGCCCTATCTCTCTTCCAATCCGTCGAGTCATCATTGTCACAGTCACACAGAGATATTAGGTCTGTGTTAATCTCCTCCGTCGTCGCCGCCGATCTCCGCCGATCTTCTCCGTCGTCCTCTTTGTGTGTGTGTATACATGCCATGTATTACATGGTTGTTGATCTGTGTTGAATGTTGTTGTTGATGGTGTTGATTTTTTATTTTTTTTTAGATCCAAATTGTTGATGGTGTTGAATGTTGAATGCCAATCTATGTTGAATGTTGTTGTTGACGGTGTTGAATGTTGAAATAGATTTGGGTTGAAAGTTGTTGATGGTGTTGAAAGTTGAAACAGATTTGGACCGGGGGATTTTGATGTTGTTGATGGTGTTGATTTTTTTTTTTTTTTAGATCCAAATTGTTGATGGTGTTGAATGTTGAATGCCGATCTATGTTGAATGTTGTTGTCGATCTTCGCCAATCTGTGTTGAAAGTTGTTGATGATGTTGAATGTTGAAACAAATTTGGGTTGAAAGTTGTTGTTGATGGTGTTGAAAGTTGAAACAGATTTGGACTGGGGGATTTTCGGGGTCGGGGAAACTCGATCCTCGTTGGGGACGGGGACGTGGACGGTGATAGGTTCCCTATCGAGGATCGGGGCCGGGGACAGGGACATTTTCACCATCGGGGATTGGGGACGGGGAGTGTGATCCCCAGCCCCGGCCTGGCCCCGGCCCGGCCCCTTGCCATTCCTACTTAGGACTAAGTCTTAAGGAAGGCATAGTGGGCCTAAGCATTAATCAAAAATCAATGTAAAATCTCCCAATTGATGTGGACAAGGAATGTATTTTCTTTTTCTCTTTCTCTCATAGGTGCGTGGGATCGTGAGGATTGAATTTTGAGGGGTTTACATCAAAACTCTTGACTTTTTCAGTCCATATTAATGAGACGTGAAAAGTATTGCCCTGTTTGATTATTTTTTACATTGACTTGGAGCATGCATTAAGGCCCACAACATTTATTTTTGAGAAAAGATATCACTTGTTCTAGGCCAAATTATGATCTCTTCTGCAATTTTAATTGATTTGATTTTAATTATGAATTTATAATTATAATTTAATTTAATTTAATTGATTATAAGTTTTAGCATTTTTTTTTTATAAAAAATACGCATATAAGTGCTATCTGTCATATTTTTAAGAGTAAAATTATAAACTTACTAAATTCAGTGAGTTGACCATAACCAATTTAATAATAATTTTTTTCGTAAAAAATACTAACGATATTATCAATTGGATCAAATTGACACAAAATTTAAATTTAAGAGTTAAAATTGAGCCAATTAATTGTAGGAATCACAATAAAATAAAAAATAAAATGTAAGGATCACCGACATGATTTGTCCCTTACTTTATGTCATAATTTTTTTTTTTAAGACACAACAAGAAATTGCACTTTTGGCGACCAAATTTTTAGTCTCCAAAAGTCAGATTTTAGTCGCTGAAAAGTTTTCCTAACTAAATGGTTTGGTCACGAGCTTGGTCAGGGGAAAATTGTCGAGGAAGGTATTGGTGACTAAAAAATATTTAGTTGTCGAAAGTCCTAAATTGGTGACTAAACAATTAGTCGCCAAAAGGAAAGGTATTGGTGACTAATTTTTTTTTAGTCGCCGAAAGTTGGCAATTGGCGACTAAAAATTTAGTCGCTCAAAGTTTTCAATAAACGTGCTTTTTGTTTTAGTAACTAAAATATTTAGTCGCTAAAAACGTGGCACTCCTTTTTTGGCTACTGTGGGTGTTGATTTTTGACCACATAACTAGAAGGGGAACTTAGCTGGAGAGTACCAGCAGAATAGATTAAGCCCGAACAACCTGTCACAGAAAGATAAGAATCCGACGGTGGTTCATTGACTTGGGGGCACTCCGACGATCAAGTCAGCAATCAAGTATCTCTCAGAGATAGCAAATCATGTTTAACTCACAAGAAATAGCTTATTGCTCACCATATATCACACTTACCCCAGACCCACGGGGGTGCACTGTTTTTATAACCAGCTCTGACCTGATCCCTATAGAAACCTCACTTTAGTAGACTTTGGCTCAATGCTCATCCTGGACTCTCAGCTAGATAGGAATAAACTCCCTAAGAGCTTTATCTTTATCCAGACTGAGATCCTCTCTTGTTCTAGGACTCTTGTCCCTTATCCGCTTATCTTGGATTCTAATATCTTCGCAGATAACCTCGGCCTAGCCGAGATCACCTCGACATTAGGACCAGGCCATGTGACACCTCAGCTGACACTCCGGCGTTACCTTGGCCACGTGCTGTCATTCATGAAATATGTCCCCATAACTGCCCCCTAGGTTCTGTTGCCTCGGCAACCTGAGGTGATGGAGCCTACATCGTTTCTTCCTATAGAACATCGACTAAAATTGATTCTTTCCTTTGACCGAGATCATGACTCGTTAGTTTCAAGTACTCAGGACTCAACTGTCCATCTCTATCAATGACCAAGAACCAAGTTCCTTGAGTTCCTTAACCGAGATCGTTTCCCTAGCCGAGGTTTTTGATTCATTAAATCAAGATCTCCAATAGTTTTATTTGCGCATGAGCTGCCACGCACGGTTTTCTCAACCATTTCCACCACACATGCCTTTCTCATTGGTTCGTACTTGACATGCACTATCAGATTGCGTTGTTTCTGCACACACCGCCTGACAAACACATCGTCCAAAGCATTTCAATATGGTTTGCCGCCTTTTCACGTTTTTGACAAAACTCTTCATTCTCTCTCCGTCTTTTCAATTTTGCAATTCACAATTTTCCTTTGTTTCTCTGACTTTCTCTCTCTAACATTTCCCTTCCAAACTGCCATTTTTCAAGCTCTCAAGCTCTGCAACTGCCTTTTTCGTCACCACCGGTGCACCATTCATCATTCGACTTTGACTGTTCAACTCGTCCGACTTCAACGTATCTCACTCCGGCTTCAATCTGTAAATCCTCTAATTTTTATTTTAACTTCGATTCTCTACTGTTTTTTACTATTCTTGTCCATGCTCTCCCATGCAACTTCCATCAGAATTTTGTTATATGTTTCTCTTCACACCTGTTTTTGTAGAATTTGTCTCTGTATTTGTAATTGCACTTTACTTCATGCTTTGGTCTCTATTTCTTGTTTCTTGAGTCTATATCACAATTTATTCCTGAATTCAAGAGTATGCGTATTGCTTTTGGTTCTTGCATACTGCCTTGCACACACTCACTCATTGTTCTGCGAATTTATGATTTTTCTTAATTCTTGAATCTCGGCTGCGTTCTTGATTTTTGAATGATGCTCTTTTTTCAGTTTGTCTTGTTGTATTTCTAGATTTTTGCCTTCAATTCCTATTTCTGTAGTTTCTATGTTTGGGATTTTCTTTAGAACCCTGTTCTTTAGGAAAATCGAAATGAATTCTTTTTAGATCTTCAAAAACCCTGACACCAATGCCTGTTTAGGTTTTAGCCGAGGTCTTTAAACCTATGTCAATCATTCTGTTGCCTAACCCCTTGTTGCCGAGATAATATGTATGTTTAGGTGGAGGGTAGACACCCTAGAAAAACTAAAGCATTTTAGGCGGGAGTTCTCTATCCCAGCTGAGATCCATTTGAGGTTAGCTAGGAGGAGGACTCTATCATGCCTGATTGAGACTCAATGCCCTTCCCTGTTGTTGCATTCATTAAATGCGGACTTCGGTTTCCCCTAGATACTCTCTTCCGAGAAATCCTTCACTATTACAAACTCAACCCCATGCAGCTTGCCATAAACTCATATAGGGTTATCAATGGCATAATCGAACTAGCACACCGAGAAAAGTCTAGGATCACATTAGCCGATATCTAATTCTGTTATACCATGTGTGGCCTTAAGTCTGAAAAAGGATACATATACTACCTTAAGCCCAGATCCACCGCCTTCAAACTAATAGCCGACCTCCCAGACTCTAACAAGGGTGTTGGAGATGATTACTTCATCATCTTGGGCGACTGGGAGT